CTGAAAGAATCAGGTAAACATGCACATGGGCAGGGAGGCATGTATTTGAATCCAAGGAAGCCATTCAGTGAATGCTCAGGCTCAGACCACGCGAGGTGAGAAGGTGAGCACTCAGGTCCGTGACAAGTAAGGCAGACACTGCAGGTGTCTCTGTGTGAAAGCCTGAGTCAGGGAGGATGCAAACATAGCATCAGTGAGCGAAGATGGAATAACAAAGAAGGAAGATCCCATTTTTGTGTAGGTTGTTTGGCTTAGTGTTTGTTACAGTCAGAGAAGGAAAGACTGCTGCAGATAGGTCCTGCCTCTGGCTGGGGAGGGAAACCACTCACACGTGGTTTTATTCCCTCCCAGCTTCTTACAAAGCATCCGAGTCATACACTTCCTTCTCTAAATAACCTACAAAATGGAGAAAAAGTATTTAAGTCAACAAAATACTCATGGTTTCACACGTTGTTCCCTCAAGCAATTCATCTGGTATTCAAAATCTCATCATGGATGATTCATTTATTACTTTAATAAGAGGAAACTAGGAGGATAAACAATAAAATTCCAGAAATACCTATGTGAGTTTATTTTCATTAGAATATTATGCAGTACAATGTGACAAAAAAAGAAATCCTTCAGATGAATTATTATTAACAGGGAAAGTTAAGAGTAAGTGTATCCTAGTGAACATTTCCTGAAGTATATAATTGTCAAATCACTAACCTTGTACACCTGAAACTAATATATGATATGTAAACTGCATTTCAATTTAAAAAAGAGTGTTAGTGTTAACACATTTTAAATTTTTCATAAGAGAAAAGTAATCCATTCAGAGTGAAAAAAATAAATTTATTTGCTGACCTCGAAAGTGCCAGCCAGTGTTCCAAAAAACTCACGGAAACCAAAGATGATGTTAATAATAATAAGAATCCTGCCATTAAAGCTTTCTCTTAAATCATTAAATTAGGAAAAACACTAAAATGATGTCTTGAAAAAAAAAGTCTTGAAAAGAAATGTGACACTGGTGAGTCAGAAAAACCTGTTGAGCTCACAGACCTTAGTTTCTCAGCCTGTACACACCACTGATACACGGTGGGCAAAGGACACGTGGAGTGAATCACACACCTACGATGGAAATAACTCAAAACCAACAGCATTCTCATGACCTCTGGTAAACTCTTCTTGTGTTCATCTGGTAAGACCTTGCCCCCTGCCCTTTCATTCCCTTTTCCTAGAGTCTGTTGGTATTGAATTATTAAAAGGAGTCAACATCAAAACTGTGCTGTGAATCTACAGGCATAAGTAAATCTGCTGCTGAATGAATCGTAGTGTAAAAGAATTGTAACCTTGGGGAAAACAGTAAGACATTTGAGTTAAGGGCCTTTATTAACATAAATTTAGATTAATCTGTAAATTCAATCATCTTACATATTCATCCTCCCTAAAAGAGAACCTTATTTTTGGAATGGACAGAACAAGAATTACAGGGATATATATATATAGTGTATACAAATACACATATACACATGCTCAAGCATGAAAAAATAGGGTTGTGTCTATTTGTATGTGTGGTGTCCTCCAAAGGTCAAAATCAAGATTAAAAAGAGAGAGCCAAAGAGAGAAAGAGAACACCCAGCCCTGAGAGCTCAAGATGTTATTTGGTCCAAAAGAGCAAGGGTGGAGCTGCCTTAGTCAAGCAACGGATTGCAAAACAAGCAATGTGCACATCATGATTGGGTGGAATTAACGTCTTTTTGTGTGTATGTAATTTCTGAGTTCCTTTTGGGTCTTGGGAAGAACAACAAACTGTTGATTAGGAAAAACTGGAATAATACTTTATCAGATTTTTTTTTTTTTCTGGAGGGGAGGGAGTGGCTAGGAGAGGGGTGGGTGGTTGAGGCTGCATATCCAGACTGAAATTCTGCCTTAGAAAGATTGTCTGAATGGCAATGGAATTTGCCATAATGCTCAGTATTTCCTTAAGGCTCAAATTTCTAAGCCTCAGTTTTTACCCTCAAGTAATTTCTTTTCTCCGTGTATATAAATTTCATAGATAAAATTCAAACATACTTATTTAAAAAATCTATCCACACAATGGATTAGCAATTCCAGCCATAATTTTGGACCTAGATCAGGACCTTATTTTATTTGTCAGAGTAGCTTGTCTAAAAACAGCCTACTATGAGCACGTCTATCATTATTGCCACTCTGGTGCGTTCTCCTCTCACATGCCTTAACTTGGCTAATGGTCATTATTCATTCACTTACTAGTCTGATTTAGAAACCTTGGCCTAGTCCCTGATTTCACCCATTCTTCCATCTAACAGTCAAAAAAATCCTGTTGGTTTTTCCTGTGGAGCAACTCTCCCTTCTTTCATCCTCACTGTTAAGCCATGGTTCCGCCCCTCATCAGCTCATCCAACACCCAACTTCCTGGATCCCTCCTCAAGCCTCACCACCATCACAGTGAATTTGAAATACAAATTTGAATGTGTCACTCTCTTGCTTAAAAACATGATGTGGTTGGTGATCATGATGAAGTGGAAAGAGTTCAGGTCTCAGCCTGTCTTTCAAAGTCCTTGATAATAGCCCTTGACATTGTCTGAAGAGGCTTTAAAAAATTCTCTATGTCTTTGTAATATGCTTTCCTATCCACCTATCCTTCATAAAATCCTATTTATTATTCATAATCCAGCTCCGATGTCAACACTTCAATGTATCTTCATAGCCTGTAGAGAGATTTACTGTCCATTGCCCTTGGTAGCCATATCAGTAAATCCTGGCCCCAATAACAAGCTTCATAATGTATTTCACCTCCAAGTTTGTTTCCTTGTCTGTAAAATGAGAGGAATAATATATAATTCACAGGATTGTTGTGACATTGAAACAAACAGCATATGGTCCTTGGCATAAGCACTAGTAATAGCATTTACTATAGTGAATCAGGCTCTTTTTTGTTACCGTGTTTAAACCTCTTTCCAGACTGGGAGCTATTATTAAGTACGGATCAGATCTCATTCATCTTTGTGTTTAAAAATGCTTTGTTGGAAGCCCAGAGAGACTAAATAACCTCCCAGCTTAATGGGAAGAAGTGAGCTAAACTGCAGGCTCAGGCCACATAGAAACTCTCTATTAATCCACCTCCTATGGCCTAGACGTGGCAGTCAACATCAATACAATGAAGAACCTTGTGTTATAAACATTTTTATAAGGAGCTTTTGTCAAATGCCTGCTTTCTTGTAGCACCAGATTAAGGTATAAATTTGTGGATGGTCTAATTTGAATGTTTTGCAAGGCTCATCTTTTCAGCTTTTAGTTATGCATAATCTTTACGTGAATTGAGGTACTGGTACCAATAACAGAATGAAGAGTATCATTTAGTAAAATTAAAATAATAAAATAACAAGGGATGTATTAAAAAAGGACATCATTAAAATGAATCAGTCAGTTAAGTTCAGACAAGTTAGAATTGGTCTTCAAAATTCCACCAGAACAGATGCTACCTCTCTCTGTTCTGTGCATGGCTGTGGGTTGAGAGAGAGAGAGGAATCTCCCCATTTCATCATCTGCCTGATAATAATAAAAATAACTATTAACACACTGTTAGGCGTTCTCACTCTGTGCCATGCATTGTTCGTGTCCTGACTGATGAGATCCATCCTCACAACCACCCTTCTTTTTTTGTGTGTGTTTCTTTTTTTTTTATTATTATGTTATGTTAATCCCCATACATTACATCATTAGTTTTTAATGTAGTGTTCCATGATTCATTGTTTGCAGATAACACCCAGTGCTCCATGCAGAACGTGCCCTCTTTAATACCCATCA